CTTGTGCTATATTTTGCTTACATAGATTTGAAATATTCATACAAATAAGAAAAACGTACAAAATTTATGTAAACTTACAACTACTACCAACATTAACTATGTGAATTAAAAAGAGAAATAAATGAGTTATATTTTAAACAATTATTCAATTATTTCATGAAAGAAACACAATAATTGTTGTACAATATAACATATATTTTTAATGAATACGAAAATAAGGTAATTACTTAATATTTTATCAAACAATGAAAGAAATCATAAAATTTTTAATCTATAACCAGTATAAAAGTAAATTTTTGTCAAATATGTTATTATTAGAAATAATTAATTAATATTAAATAATATTTATCTTATATGATTATATTAGTTGTAGCCTAATAAATAAGATAGTTGATTGCAACGTCATTATATAAAGTATGTAAAAAAAATGATGCAATACATATAAATGTGATCTAGTTCTTTTAATAAATAAATATTATATATGAATAGAATAAGAAATAAATACAATGATAGTAATTCAATAGGAAAAGAAAAAGTATGTATTTTCTTAGAGAAATATGAATACTAGTACTATCTAGAACAAAAGTCTTTTAAAATTACTACTTTTTTTTTTTTTGCTAGCGTCTAAGTATATGAACATTATAATAAGGTCTCATAAATATGATCCTACATTATCAAGAATTAAAAAATAAAATAAAAACTTTATAATACATAACGTAAACGTTAATAATAACTTTGTAATAATAAAGTCCACAGAGCGACTAAGAGTATCATAATATAATATAAGTTTAATTCTTATCTTATATATATTAACAAATGATATGTTTCTTAATATTGTCTCATTGTTTTTTTATTTTTTTTTTTGTTTTTGTTTTTCCAAGAAAAGATCTTTATCTTGAATTTTCGAAGCATTATGTACGATGATAAAAAAAAGGACAATAAACATTAAAGATGTTATTAGGCACATAAGTACTGAAAATTCAATAGAATGCGAAAGGTATTATGATAAACAATGCTAAAATCATTGCAACAACCAAGATGGTCAATGATTTGCAAACAATAGGCTATATAGTTCGTTTGCCTTCCAAATAAATGACATTGAAAAATATCATTCAGAGCATGATAAAATTTCTTTCAAAGAAGTCGGTGATTGAATATCTTATAAGATCGTACAATCATGAAGTTTGACTATATGTTTGGCCAGAATATTTATAAGTGATTGAATAATGAGGACATTTTATCAAATGAATTTAGAAGAATTTTGCAAACTATTGATGTACTAGGCTCCAACGAGCATGAATGTTTCTTATGAAAACGTCAAAACCAAAATGAAAAAAAAATACTCTTTTAATCATCTAACATAATTAAATAAAATAACTAATGCATCTATAATACAAATTAGGTCCTTATTTAGTTATTTAGTATTTTTTCCATTGAAGACTATATTTTTGTTGGAGTTGTAATATGTTATTTCATTCTCTTTTATATTATGACATCGTATTGTTATTAAAAAAAACATTAGAAGCTCATTTATAATATATTTTACTTCATTCCTGCAATTATATGTTTTATAAATTAATTATTTTATTTTATTGATTTTGATCGGCAAAAAACATTTATCACTACGTGCGATGCACGTGCACTTTACTAGTAATAATAAAAGGAAAGAAAGTCGCACCTTGCCTTCTGCTTGTAGATGAATGTTCTAACTACAACTGCCCAAATGTCGGATGTTAGAAGGGAAAGATTGAACAATGTGGCTCCGCTTATCTGTATAAAACATAATCCGTCTTAAAGCATGATCGACTATAGAGGATGTTTTAAAGGAGATGGGTTCGATTTTGTAGTTCTTTTAGTTTCCATGAAATTTATTATTTGATGCATGATATGTATAATGAACATTAGAACTAGCCTTGAGAACGAAAGGAGCGAGCATGTAGAAGAGAAAGCTCGACAATGCGTAACCAGCATATGCTGACACCTGAAAACCAACACGGAAAAAAGAACGAAAACAAAAAATGGTGATAAAAGGAACATTACATTTTTAGAAATTGAACAATGAGCATTCTTTTTGCACGATTGAATTCTAAATTACGACAGCTCTTAATTTGCTGCACCATTTTGTTTTTCTACTTACTAAGTCCAGCAGACCAATTAATCGACATCAGGGCCTTCCTCTCCAGGAAAGGACTAAGTATAAAGTTAAGGAATTAAACAACATAAATTCTCGATTTGTTTTAAAAAATGTAGAAAGCTTATGGATGATGTTTGTGAATATAGTTTGAAAAGCATACATCTCAGATGCACTAACCAGCATACCAAACAGACCAATCATTGCTATTACTTCAGTTAGATCTTTCTTCTTCACACAAAATTCCTGTATATATCGATCAAAAAGGAAGGAAACATTTGTAAAACAACAAACTCTTTAACTTCGTAGCCTAACGAATATTTGTTATCTTATAAACCAACCTCACCAACATTTCTCATTGCAAACAATATCATGCCTGTTATGACGAGAAAATCGCTGAACAGAGGATTCGAACTGAACCACCTGAAATGTGAGCTAACTAAGTTTGGTTATAACAAACGATCTCCATAAATCACTAACTTAAAACAAAGGGAATATTAGTAATTTCAAAAATTTGTCTGCACAAAAAAAAGGGTCGTTTAAATTTCACCTCCACCACCACCACCACCCGAACGAGCATAAGAAAAAAGAACGAGGCAAAGGCCCGTCACGCAAACTGCTGCACCAAAAAATTGCCAACCAGAATATTTCGTGCCCAAGAAAATCCACGTGAGAATAATTGCCCAAGCTATCGTCCAACAATCGAGTATCGCCACACTTGTGATCGACGTGAATTGGAATGCTTTGTTAAATGCAGTAAAATAAGTGAATATCAGCATCTTATCCAATTTTAATAATTACTGCATCAAATTACGACTATCAAAGGTAAGATTACCGAAATAGTTGTCGTGGACTTCAACTAGCGCAAGGAGAACATACCAATACCCAGATACCTATATTTCAACATTGTTTAAACCGTAAGTATATGCAACAATGTTATCGTTAGTTATTTAAAAATCTACAAGCAGTTCGAACGAATACCGGTGAAAAAACATGTATTTTACCAACAATTTTTTGCGGCGGTATAATATGACACTCCCATACACCACACCCAAGGACAAGTACGTTGAGAATGACAATGTAAGAGGTGCATCCACTGTATAATCAGCCCAATTGAATCATGTTAGGTGCAAATAGACTCAACTGTTAGATACTTTTTTTAGGAAAATGCTAAGGTCCTGTTATGGAACCATTCCATCATGTTTGTAACCATCATATCATCATGTAACTGTCAGAGATAATTGATCAAACTGTTACACACCCCGACGGAATGGTTCCGTAACGAGACCATAGTATCTTCCTTTTTTTAACAACTTTACATTTTTTCACTCAAATATTATACTTTAGAAAATAAAGCATGATGTTGTGAATCCCATCGGCAGAGCCCTGGACCCAAGCAAATCTACAATTTATACGGCCTCGTGTGTGCCGAGATAGCCTTCTTCCAATAGGGAAGAAAGGTAAATATTGAGATTGTAACGCCCCGTTTGATTTATTAAAGCCACAATCTTACAGTCGGCGAGCTTGTTTCGCTACCGCACACCATCTTTGGCCGCCGTTCAAAGCCACCGTGAGCACCAGCGACGAACACCCCCTCCCCCCCGCCGAGTCAGCCGTTCGTGATATCTGCAATCGCGAGCAGAGCACCTCCCTCGATGATTCCCGGCGAGAACCCCCGTCGCAGCACTTATGTCCGTCGTTCAGGGCCCGTTCACTGCCACTTGTCGCTACGAAGGACGTCCGCACACCATTCTCGCGGTTCCGCTGCTGCTTGTTGTCGTCGCAATGAGGTCAGCCACGATCGTTGTCTGTCGCGAGCTTAGTCCTGCACACAGGTCTCGGTGAGCCCAGCCTCATCGCGAGTCCCGGTTTTTTGCTCGTGAGCCCTCGAACATCACACTATGTTCATGAGCAGCCAACGCCCTGAGGTTCGAGCAGCAGCCCATTCATCACCGAGAGCCGCTTTCCAGCAGACCATACGTGCACCGGCAACCCTGTTCTAGTCGTCCCTCGACTCCTCCCGTGTGATTTTTCCCGTGAACGGTACACGACAACCTGATACCTTTTCGTTTATTATGTGATATATTGATGTCTAGAAGTGTATCATGCTAGGATTGTTTGGATTAAATGTTACGTGAAATTCATGTGGTTCTCGATTATTTTTAAGAAGAAATGAGTATTATTTATTGTGTTTATTTGGCCGATTCATATGGGATGTATACGCTGAGTTGATAATGAATTATATGGCTGGAATGAAGTGTTTTTAGAGCATTATTAATCTCAATTTATTCGGCCTAGTAGGTGTTAAAAATTGATTTAGAATAGTAGATGATACAAGGCATGGTGTGTTGAGAATTTGATTTCATTTGTTGTTGTATGTGGCTGAGGTTTGATGGGTTTCCTTTAATTCAATTATGGAAAATTTATATTATAAAAAGGCTTAATCTCAGTTTTTAAGGGCCTTTGTATATGAAGTTGATTTTGAGAAAAATAAAATAAAGAAAAGAAGCTTTATTAATTGTGTTGTTGATGAATGTATGTTTTGAGTTGAAATTGGATTAAAAACTTCAAGTTATAGCCTCTGTTTTTGCTCCGTTTTTCGTAATCTAGAAGCTGTTTTCTGGTTAAGTGTTCATCACGAGAATTGTAATATTTTGAGTTAGTTTTTTGTGAGTTTTGGAATTTTGCAATTCGAAGTTGATTTGAATTTATTATGAATTTTTGAAGTTGTACGTGCATTCATTTTTGTAATTCCGGGCAGATTTGTGGATTAAGATGTCAGGCTATTTTCGATGATCCTAATGTGGCTGTATGGAAATGTAATCATCTTAAAACTTGTAGTACACGTGATAAGCTTTCATCAAAAGTTAAAATCATACAATATAAAATTTTGGTTGAATTTATATGATTTTTTAAAGTTGGGGTT